TCGCTGAATCCAGAAACCAAACACACATAACATATAACAAAGAAAGTAATCGATAAATGAAATCGTTCATGACTAAATTTTATACTTGACTTTACTCTTTGCCCGTTTCACAGTCTTCGACTGAAAAACTGGTGAGCCGATTGTCTCAAGGTCAATTAATTAGTGGTAGGATAGTTATGTCCTAGTCCTCTATGTTTCAGTATCATCTCGAAAATGAAAATAATATTAGCTTATCGGAAATCAGCAGTAATAAATGTTAAGTTTTTGAATGCATTATTGCCGAAAAGATACATCGTTCTATTCTGCTCCTTCTTAGATTAATCCCGTACACATCAACACTCTACACTGTCTCAAACGATTCAGACATAATGAGATTTTAGTGAAATGGTAAGGGACGTGATACTAAGATCAAAAGATCCCTAAACAACAAACAATATGGTAGGGACCTGAAGTAAAACATTCTTCTGATCTGACCCTTTCCAAAAAACTTATCTGTTCACTGTCTCAAATACCTGAAGGCACTCTTTTGTTTTACATCGACATTACACCTAAGAATGATAATCATAAGTACAATCGGTAGATTTCAGTTTTTTTTTGGAATATCACCATGAAATTGTAGGAAGTATTGTGAGTACGGTAGGGTCAGCAATTATTATGTGTGGATCTAGTTTCCGGTCCGTTTCCGCATTCATTGTCTACTTTCCTTTCTTTGGTCCAGCATCGTCGATTTCCAGCCTGTTTCCTAGCGTGTTGTTGGTTTTTCATTCGTTTGCCCATGAACCATTAATTTTTTGTTTGTTTTTCTTATTTCGGTTTTTCGGTCTTTTTTATGAATCGCATCCTTTCCTCCTTCCACTTTTCCTTTTCCTTTTTTCCTTCGTTTATATTTATCCGACTATTGCTATTGTCATTAAAATCATCACAGTTGCAACCTTGAAATCGATATGGCCTACATCATTTTCAAGCAGAGAACGAATTCGAGATAAGTTCAAATCTTAAAAATTACTTAATACATACGAATGCGATTCTCAATTAATTGTCTACTGATAGAATTATTTGTATTTTCTGATCGGTCATTAGTCGTACATTATGACCTCATCATTTTCCATCGATTATTATAATATTTGGCTATGTTACGTATGAATACTGAAAAATTGATCAGAATTTGATCCAGAATCCGTAGGCTTATGTTCTATCTTTAAAGAACGAACAGTTCTGACCATTGACCACTGATCATTTTAGCCAGCTCATTATTGCACTACAATTTAACTAAAAAACTTTATAAAAAATATAAAATTTTTCATGACGGTAAGCTTTAAAATCCAAAACAAAGATATTCCGCTATTTCATCCTCCTCATCCTTTTAACTTTTGTTTTACACCTCTGTCCGAAAATTCACATTTTATTTTCTTTTCCCTCTTGTTATTTTCTCAATTTTCGCCTCATTTAAAGAAATGCTTGTTACAATTTACAGTGTCCCTAAAGGAATTCGAATGATAGTAGACGCCTTTGAGAACAAAATAAAAAATATTGCTATTCAAACAGGACCCTCATTTATATACTCTTTTTTTAAACAATATAAAAACAAAATTTAAAGAAATGAAGCATTCATTATATATAAATTAAGTGACATAAGGATTTGGGAAATGTTTCTCATGCATAGATTCCATTCATTTCTTGTCTTTATTTTTCTTTTAAAAATTTTTGATGTATGCTTTTACAAGTCGAAATTCGGATGATAGGTTCTTAGTGAATCAATTGAAAAAGTGTTACGAATCGGTTTGTCTCTTAAATTTTTATTTCTCTTAATCTATATACCCTTTTCTCTTTGATCCCATCACTTAACTATCGTGAAAAACAAAGGCTAAATGAAAGGTCGCATTACATCCGTTGAATACACTATTTACGTCAAAGAGCCATTTATAAAAATTAATTTATTTATATGATTCTCATTGCTCGTTTTTCAATTAATTCCATTAATTGAGAAATACTTCCTGGCAGTACGTGATTCGTTCATGGGATGTATTTGCAGAGATTGTAAATTTAGAAAAATTATTTTAACAGCTTAATTGCACTAATGTTGTACAGCTCAACTCTTTTGATTCTTCCAGTTAATTCCATTTCACATCCATTCTTTATTCATCTTAATCGCACTTGTTTTATATTCATATGATAACATATCCACCATCAGTAAAGGAATCTGCTACTACTAATTAATGTGATTGAAGCAATCAAGGTGAAATGATGTATGCACGACCGTACAGATGCATTACACTTCGATTTCGTGCAGCAGCATATCTGTCCTTTAATATCCCGTTCCTCACATCCCTCTCTCCCAACTTTGCAAAATCCAAATTCTATACTTTTGTCGCAATCCATCACCTGTAATGGTTACCAGCTTTATCAAGAAATCGAGTAATTAAATGGAATGAATGTAAATTAAAATTAGTCGACGCTTTCAATAGTTTCATGATGAATACCTAACAGTTAATATTTGATAAAACAATAAGTCGCTGCATCCCATAGTGAGGTGGATAAAGGTGGATATAATCTTCCAGTGAGCTCGTGATCAGATAACTGTTGGAAAGTTATGGTAGTTTCAACAAGAATTTCAAATGAGGTCTAAAAGTTTCGGCTTTGCAATTCAGAAACTAACAGTGATGCCATTTGGCATCACTTGCTTGTAGCAAAATTCAGTATTCGCATCGCACAGAGTCATTGTCACTTTGTTGTTGACACCCGAGTAGCACAACAAATTCTCACTTAAAGTTGAGATGCACCATTGCCATATAATTGCCAGTACCAGGAATTTGGGACAAAGGCTGGAAGTTAACCGATAAGATATCAAAGAGCTAAGTGGATAGAGTTGATGTCACTGTGTGATAATTTTAATTGATGAATGCTCTCATGAAATTGCTTACAAATGAAGCAATTCATCAATTCAAAACACTTTTAACAAATTGCGTAATGAAGCTGATGAATGTACCTGATCATAAGGAATATTCCTTAAATGAAGTGAACTTTTATGCCAACGATAGATGAAAGCCTAAAAATACCCTTCGGTCAACATTCGTTAGGATGATTTGCGAAATTATTGTTTCGATCGATATATTGCAAACATATTAGCATTTTTCAGGCTATTCAGTAATGACTGGTTTCAAAAAAGAAAGCTATAGCATAAATAAACTTAAATCAAACATTTACCGGCAAATGAGAAAAGAATACAAATAATTAAAAGTGGAATTTGTCTCTTTGTTCTCTTCACTTATATATCCTACTTTGCCATCCTTCTTCTGTCCAACATAACTATCACTGATGAATATGCAGATTTTGTGAATTAGTCGTGTTTAACAGTTGCCTATATAGGAATGTCAAAAACAGTTGATGCGATTCTGATCTTCCCTTCGAAAAATGATAACGAGAGTTCAGCTGTAAATTGTTTTGGATCTGTGTCTAGAATCTCAAAAGATCAAGAAAGTACTATCGTATTGGCCTTGGCCAATAGGTTCAACCCCAACATCCTAAATGGATATGTATACATCTAGTGGTGAGTATTATAGATCCCTTTCTCGTAGTAATAATTCACAATCGTAATATTGCCTAGGTTAAGCTGTATAGAATGATAAAAAAGTCTTGCTGGTCTTAATGACTTTCTTATTTATATAGTAAATGGTTTTGTTGAAAGTAAATCGTAGTTTTTCGTTTTTTTTTTTGTCTTTTTATTTTTTTCCTTTTTTTAAAATCGTGGCTGCCAGAACTGAAAACGAAACTTTTTTTTTTTCCTCAACAAAATCAAATACTAAGTGCGATGCTTTTGGCTGATCATATGCATAAGCGTTGGAAATGTTTTGTTTGACTTTTAGTTTCTTTGGTCGTTGTTGATATGACCAATAAACTAAATCTGTGTATGTGCGGTAATCGAATCCCACGAGTTACGGTGACGCACGTAGAAAAGTTACATAAAGCGGCAAGAACATGAAAACGCGACAATGAGACGAGAATCAATCATGTAACTGTAAACAATCGAAAATACCTAACGTTATAAATGCTGTGTAAATTCGAAAAAAAAGAACAAATTTAACAACGGAACCACATAATTGCCAAACAGATTTATTGATATCAAAATTGTATATTTAGTTTGACAGTGCGTAACTTCAAGTTTATAGCGTAGTATTTCTGGTGTCTGTGTTTTTTCCCCCTAAATCTGTTCTTAGTCTTGATTCTGAATTGTTTCTGGATATTTCCCTTTCATGACTAGATGATGGTGATATGTTTGTCTTAGTAAATGTTGCTGGTGTACTGCTTTGATCAGCTGAATCTGTCAAATTAGTCGTTGCCTGTTTCATTACTGCTCTTATTTCCAATAAAATTTTCGGAAAGTAACGAGCTTTCTCCGGCAATCTTTCAATTGTTTTATTAGATAGCAAAGGTAGCTTAAAATTGTCAGTTATTAAGTTACTAAGAAATGTAGTTGGGTTAAAGAAACAAAACTAAGTAGTCAGGTCTTTGGCCTAGTGCACTTTTCCTAAAAATTACAAAATATCGTATGAAGATATTGCTGGTTTTTATTGAATTTAGTGAAATCCCTTTCTCTCTCTCGGTAATCGTCAATTTCAGTTTTGCTTACGTCATGAATTGGTGATGGAAATCTGATGTAAACTAACATTATCCTGCGTTTTCACAAGTTCCAATTCACTATCCGTTTGTGTTTTCCCTGATCTTTCTTTCGCTGTGCTGTTAGAAATTTTGAAAATAGATTGGACAGAAGTGAAAGTAATTGCTTCACTGCATACTCTTCAAGGTTATATCTCCAAATCAATCAATATTGACAATAATCATATCATTACATACACAGTTACGACTTAATTGCTTATCATGCGAATTCCTCCCAATTAGTTATGTCAATTACTTTTTCATTAAATGTCACTTTGCTATTGCAATAAATACTTTGTGAAGATACTACTCTCGGATATTCATCGCAGTAGGGTATCTTCATGAAAATTTATTTTGTTTCATAAGATATAGCACCTGTATTAGGTTTTGTAAGATATGCGGGTCTCTGTCCGATACATGTACCCATTGGTTGTTGTGATAAGGAAAGTAATCAGTAAAATATTTTTTAAGAATGAAACATCCGTAAAAAGTGTGGCTATGGAGGAGGTTAAATATAAGGAATGAAACGTGCGGTGATTTTGGTTTCCTTCTTTTCTTACGTTCTATTTTATTCGACATAGATAACGCATTTGTAAGGAACGTATTTTTGCGTAATGTCTAACAGTTG